AGTCCTAATAACGTAGCACCTGCACCCTATATAGCATAGCCCTCCAAATTCCTGCAGCCCTGAACACCCATCTACTGCAGTCTCTCTAACTATAAATTCTGACTCGTGCAGGAGATGCAGGACTGCACTTTCCAAAGGAACATAATAACAATGGTTTTTTTTATGAGCCTCTCATTTGGCACAGACCAGGACAAAAACAACCTTTTTCTATCTCTTAGCCAAACCCACCAACAAATGGGTCACTCGAGGCAGCAAAACAAGCAACCTCCACACTTTCAGAGCAGCCAGCTCCACATCTTGCCCCTACCTCATTGATCTGCCGCCGCTGTGCAGAGATACGCTTCTGCTTCTGCTTGTGTAAGTGCTGCTCCCGCTTCTTCACATACTCATCAGAGGAGTAGGCCAAGGGGTTGTGAAACTCATCATAACCTTCATCCATCATATACCAGTCCCGGTCCGCTTGCTAGGAGGAGAGAGATGCAGCACTGAGCTGCGTTGCTTGCCCAGCTGGGTAGACTCTGGTCCTCACCCAGCCACTGGGAGAAAGCTGACTAGCACCTGTGACCAGGTGCAACACCAGCGGCAGACCCAGGCCCTGCCGATGCTTTGGGCTAAGTGGCAGCAGCCAAAAGCCTGCTGTCTACTGAACACCCTGCTCCCTGTTCAGGCTTCTTACCCGTTGGTCATCCTCCCACTGCTGGCGTTCTTCCTCCGTCTCAAAGGCAATGCCCTCCTCTCCATCCTCACGCCGCCCTAAAGAAGGTGAGATGGTGAGAACAGGCCACCAGCCCCACCAGGCTGTTGCATGTGGAGGAAATCTCACAAAACCTGTCCTTCTGCTACACAGGGATTATGTCACTGTCCAGCCTCAGCAGCCCACTCTAGGCTCCTCACCTCTACCTCTGGACAGTCGTGGTGTGGACCCCAGGTGTTTCCGGTCGTCGGCCCACTCATTATATTTGTAGGATGGGGTGGGCAATGGTGTCTTATCTGAATACCTGCTCCTTACAGACCTGAGAAAACAGCACAAGACAGAAATCAGTGCACAAAGACAGATATTCATCTTACACGTACCCTTCCCTTTCTTGCAGATCACCAGATCATAGATTGCACACCCGGCTATGATACCTGTCCCGGTCTCTCCGATCTGTGTCCCGCGATGCCCGGTGGCTGCGCTCTGAGTCTCGACAGGAAGGTGTGGGTGAAGGAGATTCCCACTGTGAGCGGCGAGAACTGCTGTAACTGCTATCATCCTCCTCCCAGCTGGAGCGAGATGGCGTGGCTGCATCTAGCAGAGGAGATTGAGTTTGACACAGTGTTCACACAGTGATCCTAAGAACCTAGGGCCACTTTACACCTCCTAACAGGGAGCACAGAGAGGGTACCCATTGGCTCTCCTTCTAAAGGTGTTTGCACACATCAACTCCAAGGAAAATTGCCAGAGGACCACATCTCTTATCACACAGACTCAGAACAGACCCCGCTGGGCAAAGACTGGCCAGATTTTCACACAGACCTGGCAGATCACTCCCAGTCCCAAAATCCTAGAAGAGCATGGAGTTTTATGTGTGTTCTAACCACAAGTCTTAAAAAACATGGACTTCTTCACTTGCACTCATACAAACAAAAACAGCAGAACCCTCACCTCAAATTAAAAACCTTTTCTTGTTAGATCTCTTCTGAGGTCTCTACCAAGTCCTGCTCCTACCTTTGGGACGATGCTTGGGACTCTCTGGTTCACTCCTCCTGCTGTTCCGCTCCAATGAGCCATCTCTTTCTGATCTGCTGCTGTGACGACTTTTGTCCCAGTCCTCTGTGGACAGAAAACAAGCTCAGGCGCCCTATGTACAAACTTCCCAAATCTGCCCTAAAAAATATACTGAACATTAGTCAAGGGCAACAGAGAGAATAAAGACTGAAACCTAAGCAGAAAGTAACAAAAGCCTCAAGAAGTTACCACGGTCCCGTTTACGATCGTGGTCTCGATCCCTACTGTGCTCCTTCTTCCGTTCCTTCTCCTTTGAGGAGGCAAAGACACCGTGTTCACGACGCTCCCTTTCCCGCTGCCGGCTGCGTTCCCAAAACTCCTCACTGACACCACCTGTGTAGGACGGTGTTTCCACATGGACAGAACGGTAATGCCTAGAGAGGTAGAACAGAAGTTAAAAACATTCCACAATGCTGAGGAATAGCTGGTTTCTAACTTGTCTCCTACAGTTCTAGTCCTGATCTCTGCTACAGTAGAAGCATGTGGTTGAGACTGCTCTCTCTCACACAATATCCCAGCTTTCAGACATAAGCACTTCTAAGCAAACTGCTGTTTCCAAAGATCAGGAGGCAGAGGTGACGTGCACAGGGCAACAGGCGTTTGCAGGCCCGGTAGCATCTCAGAACATTCCTAGCGTAACAACTCAGGGTGGGCACCAATCAGATCGTTCCCAGACGTCCTCAAATCCAGAGACTTGAATCCCACAGCCCCTCTCCGGGGCCGGGGGTAGAGATCCCCACAGCACACGGCACGCAGCTGCCGCCAGGCTCACGGCCGGGCACCAGCAGGGCGCGGCGGCCCACAGAGAGCCCACCTGTCCTTGCGGGCGCCGCGACGTCTCCGATCATCCTCCTCGTCCTCCTCCTCGTCGGGGCTGCCCGCCTCGTCGCGGCCCTCCTCCCAGTCCCTGTAGGAGGACACCCGGGACCGTTTTCCGCTCGTCCCCTCCTCCTCACGCTCGCGCCGCTTCTGGGCTGCCAGCACGTCCAGGCCCAGCAGCGAGGCCCGCGGCGCCGGCGCCTTGAAGATGTGCTGCTCGGCGGCGGCGCTGCGCGCCCGCGGGACCAGCCCGCCCGCCTCGGCTTCGGGGCCGGTCCCGGCCAGCCGGTGCAGCGACGCCTCGCCGGCCTCGGCCATTGGCGCCGGTCGCTACCACGCTGCGGAAGAACGGGCTGCCGGACCGCGGCGGGGACGCATGAGGCCTACGGGGAGCCGCTGCGCGCCACGCAGGGCCGACCCGACCCCCTCCTGCCAGCAGTCGCCTCAGCGACCGCAACCCAACCCCGAGAGCGCCGCCACGGCCGCCCCACAGCGCTCCGCGAGAACCGCTCTAGGCCTCGTGCACCATAGACAGAACGGGCGGAACTTGCAGGCGTCCCAGAGACCATAGAGTCCAACTGCCACTACACGGGGCGGCCCGCGGCTCCCTCGGCGGACTTCCGGCACGGTAACCCTATACACCACGAGGGCGCGACCGGAAGAACGCGGGGCCGGAGCGGAAGGGGCGGAAAGGGCCCCGGGCGGCGGCCGTTTGTCGTGCCGCCGGCAGCGCTTTGTCCCTCGTCTCGGAGAGGTAAAGGCGGCGCCGCGGCCCCAGCCCAGGACGCCGCCCAGCTGTCCCCGGCTCGCGTAGTCCTTCCGAGGCAGGTGGGACGGGCGGCACGGCCGCCTCCAGGAGAACCTTCTGACTGGGTCCAAGCGCGGTGCAGGGCACGGCGCGGCCTAATGGCTCGGAGCCGTGAGCCTCAACAGTACTTCGAGAGGTGCCGCGCAACTTCATTATAGCAAGACAGCGCTGTCCCACCTTCCCTCTGCAGCCATCCCGGCTGGGTGCAAAGCGACTTCTGACCGTGCCCTGGAGCCAGTCTGGCTGCTTCGAGGCTGGCTTGGCTGAAAGCACAGGCCGGAGGATGGGCTGCAGCCCTGGTCTGCTTGCGGGTGCACAGCTCACAGCCCACACCCTGGTATAGTCAAGTGCTCAGGGTAAATGCACAGCTGGAAGGCATAGAACATCTCCAAGGCCATAGAACATTTCTCACCGATCAGCAGCAGAGCACAGGCAAAAGCACTGTAGGACACACAACTTCCCCACGGTCAGGAGAACCAACTTCAGTCCAGGCAAACAAGTGCATCCCAGGATTGTGTCCAGAGCCAGCACATGAAAGCCAATGGTAAGATATCCCTCTTAGAACTGCAGACAGCACTGTGTCAGAACCAAGGCATCTGAGAAATAAAGGGAATGGTTCAGGGTACACAGCACCAAAGAGAGCAAAGGTTACAGACAGCCATGGGTCAGCACTCATACCCACTCTTGTGAAAGGCTGCTCCTCAGGACCATGAACAGGTTTGGTGGAGCTCAGCACTGTCATACAATCCCATGGCACAGGATGGTGGGGAACTGCTGCAGAGGGAACACTACATCCAAGTCACACAGCCTCACTAAAGGACAGGCAAGAGACTGCTGGAGGTCCAGGGTGAATCAGCAGTTGCTGCCAAAAAGCCCCAAAGACATAACTGGCAGCTTCCAAAGGAGTGAGAAAATGGGGCCTTTCCATAACAAATGACAGAGCAAAACCACAGCTGTCTGAGCAAGGGGAAAAAACGGCTCCTGACATCTCCTGGAGGTGAGGGCTCCAGGTACAGGTACAGCTGGGAACATCACAATGAAGCCAGACACTGACCAGGATACAATACAATACAGCACACAGATCCCTTGGCTGACAGCTAACCATGTCCCTCGAGTCTGGGCAGCTGAAGGGGTGGCAGCAGAGCAACACACAAGACAAGGTAAGAGAAACGTTTATTAACTCTAGGTCAGGATCAGGACCCACAGGTTATTAAAGCACTGTACAGACAGCAGATGAGGACAAGCGAGGAGAGATGCCACTCCAAAGGCTGTAGTGCGAGACCCAGCACTAGCCAGAGTGAGCTGAAGAGGTTCCAGAACTGAAGGGCAGAAGGGATACCCAACACATTGCTTGGGCTCTGGTCAGTACTGTAGGGAAGGCGGGCACAAGACTGTTCTATCACTCCACAACCGGCCTTCCTCAAGGGCCTTTTTTGGCCCTAGGGGAACCTGACCACCACTTGCTTCTGCTGGGGAACACAGCCCACAGGAAAGCCAAAAGCATAGCCCTGGGCAGTCGCATTAGTACAGAGACCCCTTCCCCAGCTCCCCACCAGTACAGCCCCAGTTCCTCTTACTGACCCTTCTCAAGAGCCAGAACCAGGGCATTGGCTCGGTCCCAACCTAACTACTCTGGAAACATCACAGCCATTCCTGGTTTGCCATGGCTCCTCTTAGCTAGACCTTGATCCTGCAATCTGTCAGCGCCGGTGATCTGCTCCAACTGCTTCCATGACGCTCTTGAACCCCTGTTCCCTAGTCAGAAACAGTGCATGACAGCCTAGCAGCCCCAGCACTGCTGCTCAGCCCCAAAGTGCCAGTGCTCATGCGCAGGCACCCAGCTGCCACAGCCTTTCCTGGGCCCCTTGCTCACCTCAGCAGCTCCTCCAGCTCCCGTTTCACGGCCCCCACCACTGGGGGCCCAAGGTACACTAATGCTGTGTACATCTGTACAAGCGAAGCTCCAGCACGGATCTTCTCCAAAGCATCACGGCCACTGCTCACCCCACCCACCCCAATGATGGGCACCCGGCCTGTGGGCAAGTACAGAATCAGGACAGTAGGGGTGAGGACAGGATGCACCCCGAGCCCTGCCCTGCCCCTACCGTGGGTGAGGGCATACATCTCCCGCACTGTCTGTGTGGAGAGCTCCCGCAGGGGCTTCCCACTGAGACCCCCAGACTCCAGGTGCTGTGTGCTCTGGAGGCCACTGGGGCGACTGATGGTGGTGTTGCTGACAATCAGTCCATCCACACCAACCTGGAGGAGGCATCAGTGTAAGGTCCCAGCTGCTGTGAACAGCTGGGTCAACAAACAAGCCAGGCTGGATGTTCCCCAGCAACATACCCAGCAGTTGTCTCTCACTACCTGCAGTCCCAGAAGCCTGGTGGGATGCACACAGACCCTCAGCCTTACAGCTAAACAGAATGTTGTCCCTCCAGCCAGCCAGAACTGCAGGTCTGCTGTCCCTTCAGAGGGACCAGGACCACTGCTGTCTGGCACCATGCTCACGCAGAGCAGGAGGTGCACACACCCAGCTTCTCAGCAGCCTCCCCTTCTTACCACCACTGTGCTGGGCCCCCATCCCCTCACCTCACACACAACACCAGCTATGTCTTGCTTGTCCTGCTCTGTGAGATCCGGGGCAATCTTCACCAGCACGGCTGGCTTACGCTCACATGACAGCATGTCCCTCTCTGCCAGCACCTGCAGCAGGACACAAAGGAACAGTGTTTTTTGGGCACCACCTGTACCCACAGCCACAGGCAGCACAGTGTCAGGCCCTTTTGTCCCAAAAGCACAGGGCCTGGGGTGTACAACACACACGAGTTGAGGGCCCAGGCAGAACTGTGGTTACTTGTGATGCCATGATGTAGGTGGCTTGCAGGAGCAGAACATAGAGCAGTGCGTCACTGTTTACCTGCCTCTTCCTGGAGAAGAGCACTCCAGCACACAACACTGGCTCACAGATTCAGTAGTTGACCAGAGGACATCTTGGTGGCTTTGCACACCAACCCAAGAAGCCTCTCTCCTCCCTGCACTGCAGGTGCTCCTCACCCACCTTGGTCAGCAGGTCCCGCAGCTCAGCCTTGCCCTGAAGGTCCCGCAGCCCCGGAGTATTTGGGCTTGACACGTTCACAACCAAGTAGTCTGCCAAGGGGCCCAGCTTCTGGACTCCAGCCACGTAGTCAGCTGCAGCATCTGTAGAGCTCTTGTTCTTGCCCAGGTTGACTCCAAGAGGCATTCCCACTGGAATGCAGACATGCCTCAGCCAGTACAGAGGGACCAACCACCACCCAAGAGGCCAGAGCACTGGACAAAGAAAGGTCCTAGACCAGCTAAAAACCAAGGTGTGAGGATGAGTTTCCTAGAGCTGGAGCTCAGACCATCCTCCAGCCACAGGAGCGTTGCTGCAGCAGCTGGCCCAGTCAGCATTTCCCAGCACCACTGTCTCCATACAGACCACTCAGAGAGATTGCCCTTGGAAACCGCCCAGCTGGAGCCCTATTGGCTTTGCATACCTCCTTTGGCCTGCAGCTAGCTTGGTGCCCCCCAGATCCATTCCGCCAATCCCTAGAGCAAACCCTTACAAACTTGTCTCACCAGTTGTGAGCTTGAGCTGTGCCTCCTGGCGGGCCCGCAGCCTGCGCTCCACCACAGCATGGCCATGGCTGTTGAATCCATATCTGCACCAGAAAAAATGAGGCTCAGGGCCAGGCCAGTGCTTAGCAGGCCTAGGCAGGAAAAGAGAGCAACAAAGGGAGCTCAGCACACTCAGTCCAGCATTCAGGTAACAGTCGGGAGCACCCATGGTACCCTCAGCCTCCCGCACCACCAGCAGCCCCTCCCAGCGATTTGTAAAAACCCACCTGTTAATGACTGCCTCATCTTCCACCAGCCGAAAGACTCTGGGCTTGGGGTTGCCCTCCTGAGGCTCGGGCGTGACCGTTCCCACCTCCACAAAGCCGAAGCCCATCCTGTACAGCCCGTCCACAGCCTCGCCGTGTTTGTCAAAGCCAGCCGCCAGTCCCAGCGGGTTGCGGAACCGGAGCCCGAGGACGCGCACCTCCTGCGGGGAAGCGCCGGTACGGCGGCGGCAGCAGCAGCAGCCCCGGATGTTTCTCCCGCACGTAGCGGCCCCGCGATACCCTCACTGCCTCCCACCCGGGGCCACCCCACGAGCCCCGCCAGGACCCTCCGCCGTCGGGCACGACTCGGCCGCCTCCCCCGGCCGCCCGCTCCCCCGCGCGCCTCGCCCTCCCGGCCGCGGAGCCGTACCAGCGTGGGGCTGTCGGGACGGGCGGGCGGCAGAAGCCCGAGAGCGGCGGCGCGCAGGGCCAAGCCGTGGGCGGCCTCCGGGGGGACGGCACGGAGCGCGGGCATCACCGCCGCGGCGTAGAGCCGCTCGTCGCCCGCCGCCAGCGCCGAGCCCAGCAGCAGCAGCCCGCAGCCTCCCAGCGCCGCCGTCAACAGCCGCAGGCGCCGCCGCATGAGCTCGGCGGCCCCGCACCCGACCCGCGCCCTCCGCCACGCGTCCCCTCGCGCGCGGCGCCACCCCGCCCCGGCAGAGCCGCTTCCTGCAGTCAGAGCGCGCGGTTGGCGGAGGACGGCCCGTGCGGCCAATGGAAACACAGCAGGACGCCGGGCGGGCGGCCGGAAAGCGAACGGAAGCGGCGCCGGCGAGGGGCGGGGCCCGCTGGAACGGCTCGCGTGGCTCAGCGGCGGTGAGACCGGGCGGGTGAAAGAACGGGAAGGCACGAACCCGACGGCGGATCTTCGGCCACGGGACGTAACGCGCCGGTACCGACCCTTCTCTCCCGCACACGCACGTACTCATCCCTGCCCCCGCCTCCCCCCCGGGGCCCTCCGACGCGCACACGCTCAGAAGGGCCGCACCGCAGCAACCAAAGGCAGCCGGAGCCCGCAGCTACAGCTGCTCACAGCCCATCTTTATTAGGAACTAATCTTAAGATACAAATCAACCAAAAAAACTTCAAAGAAAAGTAGTGTGTTATGTACAGATACGTACAGAAGAGAGTACACCGCATTCAGCAGCACCCGCCCCTGAACAGCACCGCCTGACAGAAACCAACCACCGCTCTACAAACAGCTCTGCCTGCATCCCGCCAGAGGCTTCCTGCCACCCTCCTCTGCCACCGCCGGATGCCCAAAGACCACCTCTCCACAGCTTTGGGAGACCCTGCAACAATGGAGCAGATACAGCCCACGCTGCAGCGCCCCGCAGGGCCACCCTCTGCTCTCTCCACACATACTTCCAGCAGGTTGTGTGAACGCACTGCTGGAGCAGCAAACAGTACCGTGCTGCTCCTGTGTGAAAGCGGAGCAGCCCCCCGCACACAACGCAGCAACAGCCGCAGTGGGCTCCCTGAGTGTTCACCCAGTCTGAAGGAGGGGTTTCCAACACAAACTGCAACCAGGTCCAGCTGGAGCCGAAGGATGGCACTAGGGTAGCACAAAGCCTAAAGGGCAATATCGTGTCCACTCACAACAGTAATTCCTGCCTCTGCCCCAATTAGTTAAAAAAAATCTTACCACAGAGAGAAATATATATATATATATCACCCTGACCATACATACCATAAAGCAGAGCAGGGCAGCTGGTAGATAACACTCCCTTTGAAATGAGAAACATGAGAGAAAGCCCTTTCAATCTTTATCACCCTTCTCTGTGGAAGAGAGCACAGAGCTGCCACAGAAACAGCCAGGAATGTCAATCAAGCAAGGCCTTTCTCTATAGCTACCTAGATTGGTTGGAGCTGTTCCCTGCTTTCATCTCTTAAGAGTCTCCACAGTTCAACTCCTGGAGCAAAAGGACTGGGAAAGCATCAGCATTTGGTTTAAGTACAGCAGGAAGAGAGCTCAAAAAGAAGTGTTCATTTGAGGTTAATACAGAAAACCATTTGAAGGGAGAGTGTTTCAGAGAGAAGTCACAGCTCCTGCCCTGTTCATTAGAGTTATAGCCCAATCAGTCTTATGTTTTCTTCTTTAGCTCCTCAAATCTCCGAGAAAGATCATCAAAGTCAATGTCTTCAGAGGCAGAAGAATTGGCACCAGCAGATGCTGTTGGTAGTGTATCTGGCACAGAAGGTAATTCAGGCAACACAAAATTATCAATGGTATTAGGAGGTCCAACTCTTGGTTTTGGAGAAGCTTCAGGCTTAGGTCCAGGCCCTGTTTAGAATAAGAAAGAAAGAAAAAAAAAAAACAAAAAAACAATTTTACCCCACTCACCATCACATTAATCAGGCCAAAAGACAGAGGCACACAGAACACTGCTCTACAATAAGGCAGTACCAGTGATCAGCATTAACACAGCTCCATCTCTGTTAAAGACTCAGTGGGGGAAAAAGTTCACATGGCTGCAAGGAGCTGCAGCCAGGGGCCGGTCACCCCATCGTACAACGTACTGCAGACTTCCACTCTGCTGCCCCAAGTGAGCTGCGGGGCAGCGCAGCTGCAGCTCCTGCACACCTGTATCAGCTGGACTGCACATCCCAATTTACTCCATTCCAATTCCACCTCCTACAGACACATAGGTACCAAGGTATCTTATGCTCCTATCACCCAGATGTTAAACAGAGATGTAGCAATTCCACTGCAACCACATCTCCATCACACACCATCACCACTTCCCAAAGGATTGTCAGGAGTCCTTGCTGGAGATAGCAAGTGGCAACTTAGTTCAAAACCTGCTCTGACCTGATCAAATGCTAGAGGTAACAGATGCTTTCAAAACTTATAGAGAAGAAGTGCACTGTGCAAGACTGGAGAGATTAACTGTGATCCAATTACAGTGCCTGAAGCACATCACAAACATTCAGGTAGATGGATAGAGAGAGAACAACTCTCTCACCAGCTATGCTCCGCTGCATTAATACGAACTTATCTACCTCTTAGTGCCTGCTTTTTTCTTTCTGCTCCTGAAGAATATATTGCTTATGTTCTACAAAAATGTCTTATTTAAATCCGTTGCTTTCCCATTTTCTTCTGCAAACTTCTGAATTCGGTCTGACAAGTTAGCTTAAGCTAGAAACCTAGTTTAACTTCAAAGTTGAACTCTAATTCTTAAGTTCCTCAGATCCTCCCTGTGTGAGAAAATACTCTTCATTGCTACCAGCACCCTCTCCAAACTCAAATCCTGCTCTCAAGATACATCAAGTTGTACACATTGTTCCACGAGTAGGGAAAGCCTACTCACAAGGACAGTAAGACCCCAAGCTAACCACAGCTCCAAACCACCTCCAGTTTCCCACACCTCGCCATACTCACCTGCCACCGATGCAGAAGCAGCATCCTTGTCAGCATTAGGCTCATCAATCTGAAAAAGGCTCTCTGTTACTATAGCTCTCCCATCCAGGGGCACAGAATGCCAGAGTCATACAGGCAAAGCTCATAGGCATCAGCATCTACAGTCATGCACAGCGATGCATATGATATTCCCCCCTCCTCTCCCCAAGGAAAAAAAAAACCAAACCCTGATTTCCAGGACACTCAGAAGAATATGACTCTCCTTCCAAGGAGGCAGTGCTTTCATTTCCCTCCCTCTTTGTCAATCAAAGCAGCTTCACTGGCAATATTTTGGAACCAGATGAATGGACTATATCCAATAGCAGATTTAAAAATATTTCTCAAGGACAAGAGCGAGAGAAGACTGTTCTCTTCTCCCACAATAATACAGCTACTGCTTACTTTCACAAGCTATAGATAAGCCCTTGTGACCAGCAGTGATGAAATAAAGGCATCTTGGGTCTTGGATTGGTGGGAAAAAGGCCCAAAGCACGGTCGGTTTTGCTGGGAGAACTCTCCCTTCCTGGTGGACGGTCAATGCCACCTATCTCTACCTAGCTAACAGCTCCTGTGCCTGCATCCCCTGGACTCAAAGGCTTCTGTACAGCTAGTGCACACAGATACTGAGCTATGCTCATTCCTATTCAAGGTTTGCAGAAACAAGTGCATCACCAACAGCAAAACGAGAGGCATGATCACAAGCTGCAGGAAACAAAAATACAGAAAATAATCAACACTCCAGAATCTCCATTCTTAGCCCCAAGGACTGAGAAAAGTCTGCCTAAAAAGACTGAAGGTGATAATCCCATCACGTTACAAAAAATGGGATGTGTGGACTCTGCTTGTCATAGAATCATAGAATCACCAAGGTTGGAAAAGACCTAAAAGATCACCCAGTCCAACCGTTCACCTATTCCCAATAGCTCCTACTAACCCATGTCCCTCAACACAACATCCAGTCTTTCCTTGAACACCCCCAGGGTCGGTGATTCCACCACCTCCCTGGGCAGTCCATTCCAGTGCCTGACCACCCTTTCTGAAAAGTAATACTTCCTCATGTCCAGCCTGAATTTCCCCTGCCGTAGCTTGAAACCATTCCCCCTGGTCCTATCACTAATGACACGAGAGAAGAGGCCGACCCCCAGCTCACTACAACCTCCCTTCAGGAAGTTATAGAGAGCAATAAGGTCTCCCCTGAGCCTCCTCTTCTCCAGGCTGAACATTCCCAGCTCCTTCAGCCTCTCCTCATATGGCCTGTGTTCCAGACCCCTCACCAGCTTTGTTGCCCTTCTTTGAACACGTTCCAGGGCCTCAATATCTTTCTTGCAGTGAGGGGCCCAAAACTGGACACAGTACTCGAGGTGCGGCCTCACAAGTGCTGAATATAGGGGAACAATCACCTCTCCGCTCCTGCTTGCAACACTGTTTCTGATGCAAGCCAGGATGCCATTGGCCTTCTTGGCCACCTGGGCACACTGTCGGCTCATGTTCAGCCGAGCATCAATCAATACCCCCAGGTCCATTTCCTCTACGCAGTCCTCCAGCCACACCGCCCCAAGCCTGTAGCGTCGCCTGGGGTTGTCGTGGCCGAAGTGCAGGACCCGGCATTTGGCCTTGTTGAAACTCATCCCATTGGCTCCAGCCCAGCTCTCCAGCCTGTCCAGATCCCTCTGTAGGGCCTCGCTACCCCCAGGCAGATCCACACTTCCAGCCAATTTGGTGTCATCTGCGAATTTACTGAGGGTGCACTCGATGCCCTCATCCAGGTCATCAATGAAGATATTGAAGAGGACAGGCCCCAGCACCGACCCCTGGGGAACACCATTCACGACTGGTCGCCAGCTGGATTTGACTCCATTCACCACCACTCTCTGTGCCCGGCCCTCCAGCCAGCTCCTTACCCAGCCAAGAGTGTACCCATCCAAACCTCTGGCTGCCAGCTTCTGCAGGAGAATGCTGTGGGAGACAGTGTCAAAGGCTTTGCTGAAGTCTAGGTAGACCACATCAACAGCCTTTCCTTCATCCACCAGATGGGTCACTAGATCATAGAAGGAGATCAGGTTGGTCAAACAGGACCTGCCCTTCATGAACCCATGCTGGCTAGGCCTGATCCCCCGGTCACCCTGCACATGCCGCATGATCTCCCTCAAGACGATCTGCTCCATAACCTTCCCTGGCACCGA